AAAAAAAAGCCTCTGTTTATAACAACAATGAATACAGGTTTAACCAAAATAACAGACGTATATTGGAAAGATGATAGAAAAAGGTTAAAAGACCAGTTTTTCATCTCTCACAACAGAAAGTCAATAGATAATATATAAAACAGAAAAATCAAAAAGTAGCAAGCAGTATATATATTATTTAGAAAAAGTGGAGATAAATAAAACCTAAAGAATACTGAGGGTGATAAAGTGAGACTGTCTCTAAAAAAAGAAAGAAAGAAAGAAAGAAAATCTAAAGAAATAGTTTAAAAATTGAAAGCTGTTGCTCCTGGTGGAAAGAAATTGGATATTATTATTATTAAATCATAGCTATGTACATTAATGTATTTATGGGGTACAATGTGCTGGTCTTATATACAATTTGAAATACTTGCATCACAATGGTACATTTTGAACATATTAAGAAATGAGTATAGGGCAGCACCTGTGGCTCAGTGAGTAGGGCACCAGACCCATATACTGAGGGTGACGGGTTCAAACCCAGCCCCGGCCAAATTGCAATGGAAAAAAAAAAAAGAAGAAGATGAACTGAGTATAATTGTAATGGATGTCTTACTTAGTTCAATGTAAGCATTTCACATTGCATATCGAAGCAGTACCCTAAACCCTATAAATGCATCAATGTACAAAGTTATGATTTAATAAAATAATAATAAAAAAAGAAAAAGGAATGAAATGCTTGCATCAAACTGGTTAACACAGCCTTCACCATACTTCCTTAATTATTGTGTTAAGACACACTTCGTAGATTTGACATGTACCCTTGAAAAACAATGGTTAGATGCCACTAAGTAGCAATGTGGCAATGCCTTAACCAAATACATGTTGTCAGGCCCGAGGGCTTCTGCCACCCTTGTCAAGGGGAGTGCTAACGTTCTCTCTTTCATACAACACGTTTTTTTGAGACAGAGTCCCACTACGTCGCCCTCAGTAGAGTTCCATGGCGTTATAGCTCACGGCAACCTCCAACTCTTGGACTTAAGTGATTTTCCTACCTCAGCCTCCCAAATAGCTGAGACTATAGGCGCCCACCACAACACCCAGCTATTTTGTTGTTGCTGCAGTTGTCATTTAGCTAATCTGGGCTGGTTTCAAACCCACCCGCCTCGGTGTATGTGGCTGGTGCCATAACCACTGTGCTACGGGCACCAAGCCTGGATAATTTTTTTATTATAAGCCTCATAAGACTGATTTTTCAAAACTTCTTACATACTTAGAATTATGTACATGACTTTTACAAACAATACAAGTACCACTTTGATAAATAAATTTTAATTTTTTTAAACATAAACTAAAAAAACAAGAAATGAGAGAGTGAAGATGAGACAGAGCTGGTTTCTGAGAAGCCTGGACTCAGCGAGCCATAAGGAGCTGGACTCCGCAAGGGATGAGGAGCAAGTGATTTTAATTTTCTTCAGTTGTTGCTTTTAGTCACTTCCCAGTTGAATCTCATTTTCCTGTTACTTAATGAAATACTGAGCAGATTTTCTAACTCTGGTTACTTTCAGTTAACTAAGTTTGTCATTGACATTTAAAATGTCAATCTTATCAATGATTTAAATCTCATTTCCACCACCTCCACATGGCAACTGGCTTGGTGGATTTGGAGTGTGGCCCAGGAGGGGTCTGTTCTTGTCCCCACGCCCACTGGCAGTGTCCGGAGGTGGGAGAGCTGGCCTCGGCTCAAACGCCTTCCACCCTGCTGCTCCCGCTCCCTGCTTGCTCCCCAACGGTGCTGGCTGTGGGCTCAAGGCCTTCCCCTGGGTTTCCTTGAACCACAGAAACTTACCACCCCTGCCTGACCTCCCCGTTTCCTTCTCCCTCACTTAGAGTAGTCACAAGTAGAGCTCAAGGACCCCCTCACTGACTTTAAGGGAGGAGGAGGGAAGGCACAGCCTCCCTACTGGGCTGACAACTCAACCAGTATGATCCCTTAGTTTTTTTTCCCTTAACATAGGTTCAGAATTGAGTGAAGTGGTAGCTGGGGGGACAGAGATGAGTAAACCATTCCCTAGTATCTTCTTTAGCCCCATCTTTGGCCCTAATCATCAGGTGCAGAGTCACAGGAAACAAGTCCACGTGGTGTGGCATTTTAAGATCTCTTTCCAGGCGGTGCCTGTGGCTCAAGGCGTAGGGCGCCAGCCCCATATCTTGGAGGTGGCTGGTTCAAACCCGGTCCTGACCAAAAACTGCAAAAAAAAAAAAAAAAAAGAAGAAGAAGAAGAAGAAGATCTCTTTCCCAGAGTGTGGCTGCTACAGGGAACAGAGAAATGGAGCCATTGGCGGGAGGAGGATGGGGATCAGAGAGGGACTTTCTCACCTGGGAAATGTTACTGCAGTTTTGTACACTGATGGAATGGCCAGGTGGGGAGGAGGAATAATGATACAGAGAAAGGGGGTGATTGCAGGGCCCGCTGTTGAGCAGGCAAGAAGGGATAGACCAGAGCACAAGTGGTGGCTGCAGGTCAGAGCAAAGACGGGACATCATTGAAACTACCTGGAAGGCAGAGTGTAGCGTCCGTGGCTACCAAGGAGGGTACGTTTGAAGATTTTAGGTCATTCCCAGGTGATTATTTTTACTTCTTCAGTGAACAAAGGAGCCAGGCCCAGGGCTACCAGTGAGAAGGAGAGAGGTGATATGGAACCTGCGACAGTAGAGGACAAGGTCTAAAATGCTCATTTCAACAGTGACTTGATGTTGGCAAAGCGCAAGATGGTGGCCCAGGCTGCGGGGCTCCTGCGCTTCACCTGCAGGGGTGGGCTTTTCTCAAGCTGCACCCCAATGCTCAGGTTCGGTCCCGTGTGGAAGGTGGGGATGCTGACTTAATCAGGGCTCAGGTTCTGCCAGGAATGTAGGGAAGGAGAGAGGGGCGGATGAAGTAAGTGTGTGATTTCAGGGATGAAGGATGGAATCCACACTGAGCAAGGGGGGAAGGAAGAACTCAAGAGAGCTCTGGGGAAGTGGGAAAGGGACATAAGGTCGATGGATGGGAGTCCCAGCGGGGTTGGAGAATGCGGGAGCGTGTCAAGACTGGATGTGCCAGGGCCTTCCGTTTGGATTTCCTCCACACTGGGACATACTCATTCTGTGGTTCTCGCTGTAATTACCTGGCATTGCCCCACTTCCTGCTTTCTGCTGGGTCACCTTTAAGTTAGTTTAGTAGTCTCTGCCTCCTTGGCTGTGTGCCTGCCTCAATCTCCCTGATAAGTGAGATTCACAGTTCCCCAGACCTACCTCCCTTTCACCGGGGACAGGGACACGTATCCTTTGCTCATGCCCCAGTTCCTTCCCCTCTCTAGGTTCCCTTCCTCCCTAACATCCACCTCTGTCTTCCTGGGCTACCTAGAGGCCCAGCAGAAACTTCTCTCTAACACACTCGCTCTTTTTTTTCATGCATATATATTTCAGTAGACATGGGGTCTCACTCTTACTCAGGCTGCTTTCAAACTCCCAAGCTCAAACAATCCTCCAGCCTCAGTGTCCCAGAGTGCTGGGATTACAGGCATGAGCCACTGTGCCCGGCAAACTCACTGACTGCAACACCTCCCACACCTCCAGGATGGTTTTCTATCAATTCCTTTTCTGTGCATCAGACTAGATTGGTCTATGACTGCAGATACAGTTTACAGGGAGGGTGTGGCCCCATCCTCCTCACAGGACATACTGACAGTACAGGAGAATTGATACAGTCTGCAGCATACACACAGGCAGAGGCAGAGCCTTGTTCTGTGTGTATCTCCTATAATAGTATAATTCTCTGAGGCCGGCCGTGCTCAGGAAAATGTCTAATTCAGGATAAAAGCTGGCTCTGGCTATCCACTTAGTCCTAAAATTCATAAGCACTCATAGATTACTAATATGTCAAGAGGATGAGAGGAATATATATATATATATTTTTTTTTTTTCTCTACAAACCTCTGGATTCAAATTTTCCAAATTTGCTTAAAGTATTTGCTCTGTTTTCTATAATGGCAACAGATTGATTGTATCAAAGACAGTTTACTATATCTACCATAGTCTGAATGTGTCCCCTCTGAAATTCAAGTGTTGAAACTTAATAGCCAATTGATAGTAATAAGACCTGCGGTCTTTAGGAGGTGATTAAGCCAAGAGGGTTCCTCCCTCAAGAATGAGATGAAGACCCTTATGAAGGAAGCGTCACACAGCATTCCATCTCTGCAGGAGACAGTAATAGGCACCATCTTGGGATCAAAGAGCAGTTTCGATCAGACAACTGAACATGCTGCCACCTGAGACTTTCCAGCTTCCAGAGTTGTCAGTAATCAATTTTTGTTCCTTCAAAAATATTCAGCCTCCGGTACTTTGTTAGAGCAGCACACCAGCACATGCAGCATAGTATCTCAAGCATTGTTATAGCAGCACACACAAGATAATTTCTCAAAATCCATTCTCTTCTTTTAAAATAATAGCACCCCTAATGTTTAGCTGGACACATGGCCACCCAAAATAAAAGTGGTATTTCCCAGACTGTGGCCATAGGTCTAAACCCTAGCTAGGCACAATGGGTGTGATTTCTGGTCAAACCCTCAAGGGTAAGGGTCAGAATGGCCCCAGGTAAGGGCCATTCTTTGACTCTTCCCCTGCTCCCACCCTTCTGCTGCTGGGAATGGCAAAGAAACAGGACAGGAGGAGCCAAGATCCCCGTATGGCCCTAGGAAGTAGAGCCACCGTACCTCTCCTTCATTCTCCCAAGGGAGAAGTAAACGTCCGTTTTGTTTGACGTGCTGTTATTTGGGGGTCTGTCACATGCTCTAGCCTAATACTCTCAACCTTCTCTTTCTTTAGCTCTGTATGTGTCAGACACGTACAAAATGCCTAACTCATGCTTTGGTCTCTCCATCCTTCATTCCATTCTTGAATACGTCATGGATAAGATTGTTACATGGGTGACTCTCTCCTTAATAAGGGAGAATTTAAAATTTATATCAAAGAGAAAGATAGATCTTCTTTCTGAATGCCTGGGGTCTACAGATGCAATGACTAGATCCTATTCCCAAACTTTTGTGATAAATGATTGTCTTCAAGTGAGGCAAATAGCAAATATTGGAGTAATTGAACAATAATATTTGAATAGTAATCTTGAAACAGAATTAGTTGTGTTTAGTTCTGAGTATTCCAACAGAAATGATTTCCTTTACAATATGCCATCTTGCACCTTCCCCATTTGTACTGTTATTGCTAAGCCACCCCATTTTAATTATCATTTAATTATCTTTATCTACAGTTGAGTGCCCCCCTTCTGTTGGAAAACCTATTTTATATAAACCAAATCATGGGTAATTACCTATCAAAAGCAGATTTATCTAAATTCACACTGAAACGAGATGAGGCAGGTCCCTTAAGTCATAAAATCACTCAAAATTAGATCTAGGAAAAAAGGACAGCATTGAACTTGAATTTATAGAATACCAACCACGCGGTAGCTGGCATTGGGCATCATTGCTTACCCCATTGCCTGCTGTGGGGTATGGAATTTCAGTTCTAGATTCAGCCTCTAGGATGTACATTGTGGTAGATACCATGAGTAGATTCACTCTCCCCTTTCTACAAACCATAGCCCTTTCTCTGCTATGGAGCCTGGGAGGGAGATTAAATTCTCACTTTCTCATCCCCACCTTGTCCCCTTGTAGTAAGGAGACACCATGTAACACAGTTCTGATCAATGAGACATATATGTATCTATGTAAAAGCATAAATTGCTGGCATTCCCACTGCTAGGTATATTCCCAAAAGAACTGAAAGCAGGGACTCAAAAAGTACTTGTTCACCAATGTTAGTAGCAGCTTTAGTCACAACAGCTTCGAGTCTAGATGAATAGATAAACAAAATGCAGTATATTCATATAATGGAGTATTACTCAACCATAAACTAG